GATATTGCAAATCAGGGAAAACAATGGTTACATAAATCAGTAACCAATTCCATATACGCTTCATCATGTGATAATAAAGAGACTCTCTAATTCCATATATTGTTTCTGCTTGGAAAATAGACTCATTTCTTTATGTTTATCTATGGTTAATCAAATAGAAAATCATGCATTATTTGCTTTCATAAAATTTTTCTACATTAATGGCTCAGTACTTCTTCCCTACTGTATCGAAGCTCAAACCGCCATCATTATCACAATATAAATTTTACTCGAGGATCTCCTTTCTGGCCATCTTCCCTAATAGGGCCAATCCTAATACTATTATTTCACTAACATTTTAATACAAAATTTAAATAGTATTTACAACTTAGAAATTAATATTTACCGATAAATTTTTAATAACAAATATAAAAAAAATAGATTGTAAAATTAAAATATTTAATTTTTAATAGTATATATATATATATATATATATATATATTATCTCCCGCAATTTGACATCTCAGCTTACAAATATTTGACACGTGTTGAGAAAAAAAAACGAAAAACAAATTCGCAACTTTTTCAACCTTCTCGCCACTACAAATCTATCCAAGCGAAAGTCTTAACTCAAATTTTGATTCATTCATTCTCCTCCCAAGTATTGCGACACTGGCATTTGATTTCATTTGAATTTTAACTCTCCCTTCAGAAGCTTAATTTTCATGCATCAACACTGAACATGATGCCTCACAGTAGCGGTAAAGTCCATGACGAGAGGATTCATGCGGTACAGCCAAAGATAGACTTGGTGGCAAATTTGGAAGTTGATCTGTCGGAAAAAAAACTAGAAGTGTAAGTTCTCAAAATTTAGTATGGAAAAATCACCGGAAACGAAGAAGATGAGCATATTCCCGTTCGCTGAAGATTTGTGGTTTTGCTCCAATTTTGAAAATTATGGTTGTGTTTGATTTGATTACACTAGCTCATTATACTTTCAAATTTTCCATACTCTTACAGGATATTTAAAATCAGAGAAAACAATGGTTACAGAAATTAGTAACCAATTCCATATAGGCTTGATCATGTGAGATTAAAGAGACTTTCCAATTTCATATATGGTTTCTGCCCGAAAAATAGACTCATTTCTTTATGTTAATTTGTGGTCAATCAAATAGAAAATCATGCATTATTTGCTTTAATAAAAAGTTTTAACATTAATGGCTCAGTACTTCTTTCCTACTGTATCGAACCTCAAACCGCCACCATTATCACAATATAAATTCTACTCGAAACCTTTTTTCTGACCATCTTCCCTAATAGGGCCAATCCTGATACTATTATTTCACTAATATTTTAATACAAAAATTAAATAGTATTTACAACTTAGAAACTAATATTTATCGATAAATTTTTAATAATAAATATAAAAAATAGATTGTAAAATTAAAATATTTAATTTGAATAGTAATCATATATATAGATTGTAAAGTTTTCCCGCTCACGTGAGAGAGAAGAAAGGTGTCTCTTAAAGTCTCTTTTTGTGACAGTATTTTTAAACTCTGTTTCAACACACACATGGTCATGGTCAGCCAGCCACAAATTTTACCAGAGTCAATTATATATATCTAAATTATTACAGGGGTCAATTAGCCAATTTTATAACATTTCCCCAATTTATCTTTGCAAAATATAAGTAAAAAAATTTTTACAAAAATTCACATGGGTCAAATGACCCCCCTCCTGAAGAGCTTCCTCCGCCACTGGTCATGGTGCCTCAGCATGAACTATCTAAGTATGTGGCAAACAAAATCTCAAGCAAGGAAGACTAACATGGTGTCCAATAGTTTTAACGTGAAGGGTAACTCTTCTGATTTTGTAATGTATCCTCCAACATTTAACTGACTAAACGTATATTTTTTTCATGCTCCATATTATTTTGCAAGGATCTATTAGTGGTAGTCGAGATATTCAAAGCTCCATAATTTTATTCATTATCTTCTTTATCTTTATGAATGAATTTGTCATACGTTGAGTAAGTGAGTATGTCGTCTATAATCTGGTTTACCTTTTAACTTCCGCTAACAATTGTGCTTATTTCTTTAGTTTACACTTCATAATTCATACTCTTTAGGTAAATTAGACATATAAAAATTACCAATGAAAACTCAAACTTACATACTTGCACGAGAAATAAGTTGAGCAATAAAAATTTCTGTTTAAAGAGAGTACATGCATGCTATTTTAAAATTGTATTCAAATTATATTTGAAGTGAAGATAAAATCTAATAAATTTTGACAACAAAAAGAATGGAAAAATATGTTATGAAAATGTAAAAAAAATTATATATCATAAATACTCAACATCTGGATATTCAAAAAGATCTTAAAATTAAAATTACAAACATATATAATAAAAGAAACATGCGCATATGCACGGGTATTAACCTAATCAATACAACAATAAACCATAAGTCTCTCCATGTATCTATTCAGGATGGTGGTTCTCGAAAGAGTTTGAAAAATATCTGCAATCGCATTGTGATGATGAATTTTCTGAAAGTTGAAACTTTAAAGTGGTAAAGCTTTGTCCCTTATGCTAAATACGGATGAGATATCCAATTACAGTAACACCAAATATAGTTTAAGTTGTATTTAGGCTTACGTTTAATATTTTAATGTTTTAGACCTTTGTATTTGGGTGTTACTCCTGTATCATATCTGTCATATGGCTTATTAATAAAACTATATCTAAATATAGTGTGAAGTTTGAAGGTTTGATATATACATATAAATGTGACTAATGTTTAGGTATGATAATGTTAATGTTTACATGTTTAAAGCAAAGATATGAGAAAAAATAAAAAATCCATAAAATTATGTTTTTTATATATTGAAATTAAATAATTCTTTATACTTTGACAAAGAGAGAGTGCACCAAATTTTAATTAATTATCAAAAGAATGAGTATTTTTTAATCAAGTTATTGTATACTTATGAATGAATATTTGAAAGTGTATTAAGTTTTTGAAAGCAAATATATTATGTTTAAAGGTATCAGAGATCTGATCGAAAAAATTGTCAACCGCCTAAATCTCGACCAGTGACTATGATTCAATAGATGAAAGAAACGCTGATATGATTTGGAGAATGAGAGGAATGGCGACATTGTGAAGCCATTTTCGTAGTTGTTAGACTTGTTTCTAGCATATGTGAGAGAAGAAGAACTGAAGAAAATAAAGTTATAAGATCTGAGGTCAATTAAATACGAGCTTCAGACATTTGACATGGTTATTTGGTTTTTTTCGATATATTTTGTAGCTTTTTTAATTTCTAGAGCTAAGGTAGCGATCTGATCAATATATAAACTTAAGCTATAGTAAATATGTAAGCTAATGTGAATTGTTGTTTCATTTGTGTTTTTTTACTAAATATTTTTTTAATGCTAAAGAAATATTAATTTTAAAATAATTATTTTAGTTAGTGTAAGAAAAACATGCATTAAAAGTTTCATAATTAAAAATATGAATATAACCTGCAAGTAGAGAAATTTATGATCATAAGTAAACTTATAATAGTAAAATGTGTATTTTTAGTTTTGGATGAAAAATAAATTTCTCGGTTTTACCAGAAAATATGATTTTACTAGTTTAGAAAAAAAATACAATTTTTCAGATTTCGTTAGAAAAGCATAATTTGTGGTTTTTTCGAAAAATATGATTTTAGGTTTTTTATTATTTTTAAATTTAAGAGTATTTTAGTCATTTGTCATTTTGAACTGAAACATCTCCATCAAGATGGTCAAATTTGGTTCATTCAGATAATTCTCATAAATTTATCTAAATCTTAAAAAATCATCTTGATAATTCATCTAAATATTTTTTGATTTTGCCACAAAACAAATAAAATTCTCATTTTTATTCAAATGAACTATAGATGGAGGAATAAATAGGACCTAAATCTAAAACTTATGCTAAATAAATAATAAATATAATATTTATTTATACTGTAAGAAATAACTTTTTATTTTTAAAATATATAAAATTTAGAATAATATCCCGCAGCATAGCACGGATAAATACCTAATTATTTATAAATTGCATATGAAAGATTCAGATTTCAGTTACATTGACAAATAGCTACTAGGGTGAAAAAAAAAAGAGTTGAATTACTAAAATGGGTTGATGTCCAATTGCTTACTTCCAAATTTAAATAATATAATACGAAAATCTTATAACTTAATACATTAACAAAAAAAAGTGTGGAATAGTATGTCTCTGTGTGTACTTTGACCAACAACAACTAAATTATTGTACAACTAATTTATGTCAAAGAAATGTTCAAAAAAAAAAAACTAATTTATTTTAGTCTAAAATATTCAAAAAATTCGGTGAAGTTTATATATCATTGGATAAAACTGTGATTATTCTAAATCCTTCGATTATAGAAAGCAATCCACTATATGAAATAAAATAATAGCTTTTAGAAAAGTTAATAAAACATAAAATAGTTTTTGGTTCATTTTGATATACTAAAAGATTGGTATATCGTGTTTCAATAAGATTTTAACCCAAATCAATTAGATTCTGAAGAGAACTAATATACGTTATAGGATAACAAGTAATCTTTTGATGAATACATGAATTGAATATATAAATTATGGAAAGAAATATAAGAGGTAAGAAAAAAAAAGTAGAATAGAATATTTCCATGTTATAACTAAAAGAACATTAAAAGTTAGAGGCATCAGGGTTGAATACAGTAATTCTCACTACACATTTATTACCAAGCAAATGGTAACATTGTACAAGTTCAAAGAACTGGTAACATTTTAAATGGTAACATTGTAAGGCGCAACACCATATTCAACAAAAGAATAACTTTCGGTGAAAATGACACAGTTTTTTAATGAAATGGTCAACTGTTTTGGCCCCAAAAAAAAGGAATGGTAACTATATAAATGAAATGATTTATATATATATATATATGTACATTACTGTGTATAAATATGTGATCAACAGCACATACAGACATGCACATGCATACTTCTTAATAATCATCATTTTAAAATGGTACACAGAAAATAAAGTTTATTTTTTAAATAACTTGATACATTTTTTTTGACTAAAATAACTAGATACATTCTCAATTCTTTTTTAACTCTTCCTTTTGGTGTTGTAGGAAATTGTATTACGTGTTGTGTTCTTCGTAAGTTTTTTATATTTTGGTTTTGTAAGGGGTGGAGACTATAATGTTCTTGATTTTGGTGCTAAGGGAGATGGTGAAACTGATGATTCAAAGGTATTATTTGAATTCTACTACATTTTTTTTCTTTTTGTAAAACAGATCTCTCTCGTTTTCATTAGCTTCCTTTTTAAAACTTTCTTAATCTTTATAATATTTTTTCAGTAGTTCGTTTACCATTATTAATTAATACTGATAAACTGTATGTATGTGAAAAAGGCTTTTGTAAAAGCATGGAAAACTATGTGTGGAGATGACGACGGAAACACAAAAACCCTTTTGATACCCTCAGGCCAAACTTTCTTACTCCAATCTCTTCAATTTCATGGTCCTTGTGGATCTTCTTCTGTTGTTCAGGTATGTATATACAATCAATGTTTTCGCAATTCATTAGGCCTTGATATTTTATTTTAATTTGTTGCATGTGTATAATACATGTTCATGTATATAGTAGGAGTATTTACATTATAATAGTGTGTTTTAATATATCACAAATAACACACTATTATTTATTTGTAAATAACAAATGCAAATGGGAGGAATATTTTTATATTATGCATTTGCTTTTACAAGTTTCAAAATTGTTTGATAAAAACAATTTACAAAAATTAAGATAATGTTTTAATATTTAATTGAAAACATGCAAACTTAGGCTTAAAACAAATGAAAAATTAATTACACTGAGACGATGATCTTAGTCCTTCATATTTACCAATTTGCAATAAATATAATTAATTACTTCCTCTGTTTCAAAAAGAGTGACGTTTTTGAGTTTTATTTTTGTTTCACAAAGAATGTCATTTTGTATTTCTAATGTAAAGTTTTAAACAAAAATCATCTTTTAATTTTTTTTATATCAATGTATTCATTAGAAAGAGAATGTTGTTTTTTTCAATGAAAGAGAATGTTATTTTATATGTTAACAAATGATAAAATAGAATTTTTAATAATTTTCTTAATTTGTGTGAAAGATATCAAAATGACACTTATTTTGAAACAGAATAAGTATTAGTTTTTGGTAATGACGTATATATACTAGATGATTAGAGGAATTATAGTAATTAGTAAATGAAAGAAACTTAAATTTTGAGCTCAGTTTTGCTAGATAAGGTTTTTTTTAGGTTTTGGAAGATAATTATGATAACTTTAAAAATTAAAGTGTGTAGATCAGTGATATTTTTATATTGTATATTTTTGTAATATTAAAATTTAAGTAATTTGTGAATAACAAAATATTGGATCACGTTTTTAAAATAAGCCATATAACAAACTGGTAATCATTTTTTGAAAAAAAATATACTAGTATAATTTATAAATACGACCAAATTTACAGATGAATGGCAACATTGTTGCACCAGTCGACAAACGAGCATGGTTGGACAACAAAACTCCAAACTGGATAGTGTTTGTGAGTATAAACGGTCTAACAATCATTGGTGTCGGAACTATCAATGGATTTGGTTCATCATTTTGGGAGGTAACAATTAATATCTCTAACAATGTATACTTCTTTTACCAAAAAAAAAAAAAACAATGTATACTTCTTTCGAGGCCCTTTAACAAAAACAAAATGTATACTTCTTTCATCATCTTATAGCACTCATTCAAAAAATTTATTTCTACTTCAGGAAACAATTGATAAAAGGCCTACTGTAAGTAATATAAACATCTTTATTGATTGTTAGTTAATTGCTAGAAGATCGATTAACTTATGAAATCATTTTTGGGTGTAGGCATTGGAATTTCGTAATTGTAACAATCTTAACATAAGCGGAATAACCTCGATTGACAGCCCGAGAAATCATATATCAATCAACAATTGTGACAAAGTTATGATATCAAATATACAACTTTTTGCACCCGAAAAAAGTCCTAATACTGATGGGATTAATATATCTTTCTCGACTAATGTTAGCATATCTAATTCTATCATTGGAACTGGTATGTATTTAGTTTACATATATATGCACCGCAAAATGATTGATTTAGTAAATTTGAGCTTGTAATTAAACACCAAAGATTCATGAAAAAAAAAATTCGAAATTTTGAATATCTTTTTTAGGAGATGACTGCATAGCTTTGAAAACTGGAAGTGTGAATATCAACATTACAGAGGTTGTTTGTGGACCTGGTCATGGAATAAGGTACTTGTGATTAATATATAAATATATATATTTAATATCGATTGTGCAATTAATTAAATAAAGTTCTTTAATAAATGTTTTCAATGAGTTTATATCTGCCACATATAAATAATTAAATGATTATTAGCTAAACAGGCCAAATATTCAACATATTTAGATAAACTTTTGTAGCAAAATCATAGAAAGAAAATTTTACTCAAACCGGAGAATAGTTATGCTTTTTTATTAACTAGTATAGAATCAGTTGATAATAGTTCTCCTGAGTATATATTTGAAATAATATGTCGTAAGAATAGATCATATAGTATGATATCATATAAAATAAAATATTAGTTAACTCACGTGAAGCCCTTTAACCGTTTGATTATATATATATATTAATCTGATCATAAAGTTATCTAATCTATCACAAAAAAATAAACCTTTTATAATTGATATGAAGTTATAAGGAGCAGGATTATTAACTAGACATATCTAATAACCTTTTTTTGTTTGTGGTCAACATTGTATAATTATTTAAGTATCGGAAGTTTAGGAGATAATGGGCAAAAAGCTAAAGTTCAGAACGTCCATGTGACCCATTCCACCTTCAACAAGACAACTAATGGAGCCAGAATCAAAACTTGGCAGGTATTAGTTTTTTTCAGCTGATATTAATATTAGTTAAAAAATATATATAATGATGTTTTATTCTTCTTTTTTTGTTAGGGTGGAGAAGGATATGCTAAGCATATCTATTTTGAGCACATTACCATAATTGATGCAATGAATCCGATTATAATTGATCAACAATATAAAGATAAAGGGCGTCACGGTCTCGAATCGAAAAAGGTACTTTATTTAGTTTTTAATTTTACAGTATTAATAATTTAATATACATATAATTTTTTCAAAGTAAAAAAAAATGTACATTTTGTGTTAACTAGAATTCTGCAGATGTGGCGATTAGCAATGTAAAGTTCATCGATTTTCGTGGAACGACGTCAAATGAAAAGATTATAACACTAAATTGCAGCAAAATCAAGCCTTGCAAAAACATTGTTCTGAATGACATTAACATTACGACGATGAATGGGGAAAAGTCTACAATTGATTGCAGCTCTGTGGTGGGAAATTCTGACAGTTCCGTTGTAACGGCGGACTGTTTTAAGATATAGTTATCTATGTTTACAAATTACAAGACACAAAAATAGATCGAAAAAATGATAGATAACATTTGTTTTTTAATTGTCGAGCAATGTTATCTCTATGGTGCAATAAATAAATGGTTTAGCAAAAGTTCAAAAAAAAAATAATAATAATAAATAAATGATTTAATATTATTATTGTACTTTTCAGGTTTAGTCAATGCTACATAAGTGTCCATCTTTTCACTCCAAGATCATATAAATAAGTAATATTCATAATGATCTGATATATGAGTAGATTTTAATCTCTTTAGTCCAGTTGTTTTGATCAGGAAGAAAATGCAGATAAACTAAATTTCTTTTTATTATGATTGTTTTGAAATGGACTAAATTATTCTGTATCAAGTTAACACTTAACAGATCTAATTAAGAAAATTTGCTAAGAAAAAAACACGCTTAGCAGATTTTCAAGCAATGTTATATAAATGGTGTAGCAATCAATGGTTGAATATATATAGTATAATCTTACCTCAACTTAAATGCTAAACAAATCTCACATTTTTCGTTCCTAGACCATCTAAGTAATGTTCATAATGATGAGACTTGTGACCAAATATATAACAATCACATAATTATATCAATTATATAATTATAGTTTTAATCAACACAACAATAACCCATAAGTTTCTCCATGGCTTGACACATCAGCATTTTCAAGCTTTTAAGAGATGACACTTCAGCAAAAAAATATACCAATAAAAACATTTCATTAATACAAGTCATCAATATATTTTAACTTTTAAATTTAAACTCATTAAAAACCCAAATATTTTTTATTGTTAATTTTAGTTTTATTTTTTGGTCAAGCCTAAGCCCAAATAATAAATAACAGCAAATAAAAAATTGTTTTATTTTTTTGCCAAACCCAAATAATAAATAACAACAAATAATAAAATTAAATCTTTGTTTTATATTTTTGCCAAACCGAAACTCAAATAATAAAAAACAGCAAAAAATTAAAATTTTTACATATGTGTTTGCTTGATAGATACGTATATGATTAAAGAAAATATAGACTCATCATCAACTATGCTTCCATAACAACAATGCAAAAAGCGTTATGTTATAAGAAGCTCACACATCAGCAAAAATTTGAACCAATAAAAATATAACAATAATACATATTATTAACACACTAATAAAATCAATTTACTATTTTACTGACCCATTAAAAAGCTCAAAGTTTTCAAAAAAAAAAGGAAGGCGAAAGCAAATAAGGAGAAACTCAGATCACCACAGCTAGGAGATTCACATTTCCACTGGTTACCGAGAACAAATCTCCTTAGGTTTGGCGGAAATAGAGAATTTATTAGTTTTGGTAGAAAAATGTGATTTTCAGTTTTGGTAGGAAAACATAGTTTCTCGGTTATGGCGGAAAAAAGCGAATTCTCGGGTTTGGCGAAAAATATGAATTTTTGCTTTTGGTGAGAAATAAAAAAATTTGATTTTGACAAGAAAATGCGAGGAAAATGCAACTTTTCAATTTTGACAAAAAATACAATTTCTCGATTTTGATAGAAAATGCAATTTTTCGGCTTTTGATGGATAATGTAATTTATTGATTTTTGCGGAAAATTGTAATTTGATAATTTTGGCAGAAAATACAATTTTTCGGGTTGATAGAAAAGCAAAATTTCTCGATTTTGGCGGGAATAAACAATTTCTTGGTTTTGATGGGAAATGCAAATTTTCAGTTTTTGACATATAATTTGATTTTTTGGTTTTCGAGGGAAAATATAATTTCTTAGTTTTTTGCGGGAAACGCAATTTCTCATGAGATAATGCAATTTTTGGTTTTTGCGGAAAATTGTAGTTTATCGGTTTTTGTAGGAAGACGTGATTCTTGATTTGACGAGAAAAATATTTTTTTCTTGTTTTGGTGGGAATAGATGATTTTTGCGGGAAAATATCTTTTTGGTTTTGACAGGAAAATACTATTTTTTTGTTTTTACAGGAAGATGAATTTTTTTGGTTTTGGTGAAAAACTTGATTTCTCTGTTTTGACGGGAAAACACAGGTTCTCGCGGGAAAATATGATTTTTTGGTTTTTGAGGGAAAATGTAATTTCTTTGTTTTGGTAGGAAAATGAAATTTCAGGTTTGACGAGAAAATGAATTTTTTTGGTTTTGGCGGGAATAAGCGATTTTTCAGTTTTGTGGGAATTTATATTTTTTTTTTGTTTTGTCAGAAAATACAATTTCTCGGTTTTTTTAAAATGATAAAATTTCTCTGTGCTAATTTTCAAAGTTACAATATGTTTATAGTAACCAAAATTGAATTATTTAACTTCAACTAAATTGATATTTCAACAGTTCAAATAGAATTTTCTATTTAGTTTAAAAGTAATAGTAATGATATGAATGTTATTGATTATAGTTTGGTAATTTTAGAAACATATGTCTATAATAAATATTTGATAAACAAATAAATTTTATAATTTAAAATAATCATATTAATTAATTTTTTTTAAATGACAATTTGCTTTATATAATTTCAAAAGAGGATCAAGTAGCAATTTAGTAGAGATAATAAATTACATTTAGCATTAGCATGAAAATACTTAAAAATGTATTGTTTTATTCTTACATATATATTTATAGATAGTTAGCTAAACAAATTTAATAGTAGATTATAATTTTAAAAAATTAAAAAATTAATGATATATAATGTTTATTCAGATTTAAAACATATAAATACATATTTTAAGCTAATAAAAAATAATATAATACTCATTTACATTATAAAAATAATTTTATTATATTAAAAATATATACAAATTTAGAAAAAATATCTCGCTGCGTAGATTTTCAGATTGCATGCGACCATTACATAGGAAACTCCTCTAGCAAGAGCAATGCGGTGAATTCAGGATTCACGTACGTCAAGGCGAACAACAAAACCATTAAATTTTATGAGTATGGGTGTCGCTCAAGATTTAGATTCCATGGTAGAAGAAAGCACGACCAAGAAGTGTTCAACCTCATAAAAAGAGATGCATTTGTTGATCAAATCGGAATCAAAATGAGGTTTCTATTAGAGTTAGAGATTATCAAGAAACCGGTTTATACTAAACCATGTAATTAGTCTTGGTTAGATGAATGTAAACCGATGTAATCTCGAGTATATAACGATGTACTCTTTGATCGTTGATTGAATAACAGAAAATCTTTTCCTCTTTGCTTCGTCGTCTTCTTCGTCACTCTGAATCAATTCTGGTTCACTAACATGGTATCAGCGCACTGAGGCTTTAAACCTCAATTGATCCTTCTTCAATTTCATTTTCCTCTTTTGTTGGCCTAGATTTTATCAGTGATTCTCCCGATAAATCAATTCTTCGTGAAAAATTCTTGGTTATTCCTCTGAGAACTGTTAATTTCACGAATTTGTTCCATTCGAAGCTTCGGATTTGCTATAATGGCGTTCGCTCACAAGATTATGCGTTCTATCAACAGAGTATCTCCGTCCGCTCGAAGAACCTCAGCTCACAAAGCTTAGCAAATTGCGATACCTATTGCATCAGATCGAGACTGTATAATACGTCTGCGATCCGATTTTTTGGCGCAATCTTGGATTTTATTTTTAGCTGGCTTGACCGATTCATATGTTGTCACTAGGAGCCATATAATCATGAAGAAATCTGCTCCGGTTTTGTTTGCGCTTTGTGAATTGCTGGCTCAAGTTCCAGATAAGGTTGCTTCTACGCAAGATTCAATTTCTCAAGTTTCTAAAGACCAGATTCACGAAGTAATGGCTTATTTCAGTTTTCTTGGGGATTCTACTTCTGATCGAATGATTGCTACTCTCCCTGGTATGGCGTTTTCTTCATCCACTTTGAAATTTGTGGGAATATTGCGTGCTACAGGGAATGTTCTGTCTTCTGAATCCTGGATCATAGATAGTGGTGCAACACACCATGTTTGCCGTGATAAAGAACTCTTTGAGAGTGTATCTGATGCTTTCAACAACTCTGTGACATTGCCTACTGGTTTGGGTGTTCGAATAGCAGGAATTGGGACTATCAAGTTGACTGCTCATTTGCTTCTCACTAATGTTTTGTACATTCCAGATTTTCGATTGAACCTTCTGAGTATCAGTCAATTGACAAAAGATCTGGGTTATAGAGTTGTGTTTGATCAGTCTACTTGTGTCATCCAAGATCCTACTAAAGGTTTAGTCGTTGGCCAAGGTGAAGAAATTTCCAACCTCTATGTTCTTGATGTCAAATCGGTTCCACAGGCATCCTTTCAGCAACCGTCCTTCTGCTCAAACGTTGTAGTGGACTCAACCTTGTGGCACAACAGATTAGGCCATCCGTCAGTACACAAGTCAGATGGAAACGTGGTTCTTTGTAAGGATATTTGGAATTTGGTGTCCAAAATTCAATTTAGCTACATTTTTAAATATCAATTTAGTTGCTTTGGGTTACTGATGGTAAGTAAAGCAATAATTTTGTTATTATTGAAAATCACATTTTTCTACCGAAACCAAAAAATATCCTATTCCCGCCAAAACATATAAAAAACTGTGTTTTCTCGCTAAAACCTAAAAATCACGTTTTTTCATCAAAACAAAAAAATTTCATCATTCTGCAAAAATCAAAAAGCTTGAAAAAGCTGATGTGTCATCTTATAGAGAGACTTAAGTGTTATTGTTGTATAATGGATGGGAAGAGGAAATTTTAAAAATGGAGAGAGGAAATTTTAAAAATTATAAATTGGTTGTGCTTTGTAAATTTTCAATCACAATTTAAGAATCAGATTCCAAAAAGAAAAAGAAGAAAAACACGACACAGCCAAAATTAAATACAAGCAAAACTGTTATTAGACTAAGAAATAACAACAATAACCCATAAGTCTCTCCAAGTTATGACACCTAAGTTTTTTCAGGCTTTCTCAACATGAGATCTCAGCAAAAAAATCAACCAATAAAAATATTTTATTAATACAGCTCATTTAAAAAAAACTAACCAAGATTGAAATCTATAAGTAAGCCCACAATTTATCTAAAAAATATTTTCAATTCATCTGGGTTAAAAAACTATTCTTAACTCATTTTATTGTTTTGATAATACAAGCTATTTAATATCATTAATGTTTAATTCGTTCATTTTCCTCTTCCCATCCATTATTCA